GAGTGGCCCTCCTCTGGACCCTCTCGATGCTGTGCACATCCCTCTTGAAGTGCGGCACCCAGAACTGGACGCAGGACTCCAGCTGTGGCCTGACCAGTGCCGCATAGAGGGGGAGGATCACCTCCTTGGACCTGCTTGAGATGCATCTGTGGATGCACAGCAAGGTGCAGTTGGCCTTGTGTCTGTCCCTAGCCCAAGGGAGTTCAGTTTATCTAGTGTCAACTTTCATTTTAACTGGCCTAGAAAAGTCAAGCCAGTAAAAGTGACATGCCTAGCTTTACTTATTTCAGAGTGACCACAAGGAAGCTTATTTTCCTATGTTGATAGGCTGGCATAATGCACTATGCTTTGATAAGGTTTAAGTGTTATGGTAATCATGATGGTCCAGGAAATATACAAGAGTTACGGATTTTTTGGAGGGGGCAAGAGACTGGGGGAGAGCAATTTTATCTTGTTCTTATTGAGTAGGCAAGCAATTGTTCCTTAACTTAGTACAAGCTGTGTCTGTTTACTTTTCACACCTGAGGAAGGGCACTTTGTGCCCTAAAGCCAATCTAACATCTCTTCCAACTGCAGTTGGTGCAATAAAAGCTATCACCAAAAATCCTTGCTTCTAATATGCTCTGGTATTCTTGTGGTTAAAAAACAAAACAAAACAAAACAAAAAAAAACCCCACACAGCAACAACAACAAAACCCACTTTCCTTTGGCAATATCGTATTCTGACACCTAAAGTAGTGTACAAGTCCTGTGATACTATCTGGTAAAGTCTGTGGCTTTCCAAATAAGTATTGCTGCCTCACTGATACTAAACACTCTTGTCATGCTTACTGCTTGCTTAGTGGATACGTTTGCAGCAGCATCTCCTCTACCCACTACATCTCCAGCAAAGGTGGATTCTTCAGGTGTGATTGACCTATTTGGTGGTGGGTATTCTTTTTTCCTTACTACTTGCAAAGTTAAATTACTTCTTTTCAATTTATTTCTTGCCAGTAGTTGTAATTTCCTCTGTCCAAGCTGCAACTCCTTATGAGCTACTGTGATTGTGTTTGTTTAATATCTAATCAATATATACTAAAATACAAATAAATTGTAATGTTTGACGCTCTCTGCCATCCCTCTTCAGTGTATTTGTAATTCTGTCTTCTGTATTCCGTGCATGAGTTATTTTTCTGATCAAGTATTTGTTTTATTCAAAGTAATCATGTATATTTCTCTTCATTCTCCTTTGTCCACACTTGTTTCTCTTTTAGCAGCTTAATTTTGATAACCAGCTAGAGGTGTGTGTAAATTTCAAAGACTTTTGAATTCAGTTTAATAGTCATATCTGAAATAATAGAAATTCAGAGAAGTATAGCCAGCTATTAGCCTTTAAGATTTCTTTGCCTAAATACTGTATGAGTTGCATTTCATGAATGATGGAGCATTTCTAAATTGTAGAAATTTTCTTTCAGTCCAGCCCAAACAACTGGCTTTTACAGCCTGCTGAGGAGCATTGTCAGCTCTAGCTGGAGTTATCATTGCCACTTAACTTCTCAGCCTACAGTAATGCACAGTTGGGCCTTCCTGTTTAATCACCTAGACTAGTAAGCCTCAATGGTACAATTTTGGCACATGTTTCTCAGCATTTTCAATAAGAAAAATACAAGGCTTCTTGTAAAGTTTTTGGCTCACTGCCTCTTCCATTCTCCACCTGGACTATATGCAATCAAAACTGCTGTTCCTATACTTCTAACTGGTATTTCCAAATGCCACCGGTTTTTGCTCATGTCTCTATCATTCCTTTTTTAGAAGAATAAAGTTGCTGTGATACTGCTACTCTTCCTTACATGATGATAAATAAATAAATGAATTAATGTATTTTTGACAACTTTTTGCCTTTTGTGCTGCACTGTGGACACCCATAGATGCTTTTGGAAGCAGTGCTTCTGAACCCCAACCTGCAACCCAGGCTGCTTCTAGTTCTTCAGCTTCTGCAGACCTACTGGCTGGTAATCTTAAAATTAAAACTTCATTGTGGAAAGTACTGTGATGAGTATTTTAAAATCTATGCAGGATTGTCTGTGTTTTTCTTCTGTACCATGAACATCAGAACCTTTTCCTATACAGTTCATGGTGGACTTCTAGCATTGGAATGACTGTCTAAGATGGACAATAGCAAAGACTCTCATTAGCTTAAATTGTACACTGCCTCCAAGATGCATGCATTAACTTCTAAAATGAATGCATATTTGTTTTCATCCTGTTTCTCTTCCCTTTACTTTTTATATGAAGGAATAAAAAGTATGGATCTCTTGTCTTAGTGTAGATTGCAATACAGGTTTACTGCCATGAAGTATAAGGTGCTATACATAATTTTTTAATTCCTAAATGAGCTACATGGTAATATACAAATAACCTTGCTATGACCTCAATGCAACATTGTAGGCAAGTGGTATTTAACAATGGTGCAAGACTGTTCAAAATGCAGCATCCAGTGCCATTCTCGACACTTCAGGAATGATGTGTTAATAGACAGCTCAAAGGATGGTGCAAAAGTGGTCTGGTTGCTCAGAAAAGAAGCCTTAGAATGGGAGACTTAAGAAGTTCAGTCTAGTCAGTTGTCTGAAAAGATTTTGATCACTGTGTGCAGGTTTGATAGTATGCGAGTGCTTGTCAGTCTGGTAAAGGCATAAAAGATCCAATGGCTGGAAGATAAAGTTTAAACACTTTCAGCCTTAGAAATCACATCCGTCTTAGAAATAACATCCTATTTCTAGCAGCTAAAGTAATAGAATATGGGAACAGCTTGCAAGTGGAGGTGTGTATTCACCATCACTTGAGGTCTTTAAGGCAAGATTGGATGTCTTTCTGAAAAGAATAACTTAATTCAGTTTCTGGGAGAAATTCAGTGGTGTTCCGGAGGGAATCTTCCACCACCCCGATGCACAATTGCCCAGGCTTATACTGGCACTTGCACCTCCCACAAGCAGCCATCACTGGGGATGCATTCTAGAAGGAGTGGTACAAAAATAGTCTGGATATTATTTGGTGTGCTGCCAGTTGCTGTTTTGGGGGTGTTTTTGTGTTTTTGTGTGTTGTTTTTTTTTTTTTTTTTTTGGTCGGTGTTGGCCAGATTTTCCCAAGGGTCAGATTGCCCAAAGGCCCAAGAGGCTAGCTATCCACAGCAGTGTAGCAATGTGGCCAGGCACTTGGGGCTCAGGGGCAGTGGTGACCCCTTGTTCTTGTAGTGCCACGGCTGCAATAGCATTTTTTGCACTTCTCCGTCCCCCCAGCAGGTTGGTGCCTAGAGTGGTTGTCCTGGGTTCTTTGACCTAATTATGCCGCTGGCTACCCAGGCTGGTGAGAAGCAAGATAATCTGGTCATAATTACCATAATCTGAGCATAATCGATTCTTGGCTCAAGTACCCCATCATAAATGTTTTCTGGCAGTCAACAACTGAGTCTTCTGAGGATGTCAGTGCTTTAGTTCAACTCAATAGCTTTGATTATAAAGATGTATAAGTTGAATTGAATGGCTTATTACGAGGTCAGACAAGATGGTTATGATTGTAATATCTGTCATTAAACTGTGAAATGAAGATAACATTAACCCATTTGCTGGAACTTTTAGGGGAAAAGGATGCTAGTTCTGGTTGTTTTGTTTTTGATACCTGTTTGTCTCTGCATGCTAGATTTAACCCCTTCATTTAAATGGTGCAACTGTAACCTTGTAGTTATGGGTGTGTAGAAACCTTAATTTCTAGCCATAGTTCATTTCCATCCTCAGAAAAGATTCTATAAGAGGGAGCAGTACAGGCCTTCAGTCTGCAACTGCCTCCTTTCCACTGCTCTTTTACACCTTCTAGGCCAGGATCACTTTAGTCTTGTGGGGAGGGGGAAACATGGACTATTCTAATCCTCCCATATCTGGGGGACTGGAGCTGTGGGGCAAGACGGGGCTCAGCACTGCTCCCCCGGCTGGGCTTTGGGCACTGAGAGCCAGGTGAATTGGGCCCCATGGCAGAGCTTTCACCTGCTCCACACAGCTGGGACTCTGATGTGAGGAGTGGGCAGGGGCTTTGCTCCATTACCTAAGGAGAGCCCCCCAAAGCCCAGCTCCTTGCTACCCAGCTGAGCAGCAAGGTGAAGGGGAAACCAGGGAGCTTGGGAGCAATTTTGGGAAAAGCCTCCACATGCCTGGATCCCAGCCCTTCCAGCTTTTAAATCGCCACCCTGCTGCTCAACTAAGCAGCAGATAGAGAGTGGAGGGGGCAGGGGGAGGGCAATGGGAAGCTGGAAAAGTTGGCAGCCAGGTTTGGGGAAAGCCTTGGGGCAGCACTACTCTGTGTGAGAAGCAGGTGGGGCATAGCTACTTGCTGCTGCTGTCCCACCTTCCACTCTGTCTACTGATTGGGGACCAGCTGCCCCTCAATCCTATTTTTCCAGAGGTGTCCCCTGGAGGAGTTAAGCCAGGGGAAAGTACACAGAGATTAGGTTTCTCAAGAGAAAATATCCCAGGAGTGATTTTACCTTAGTTGTTCCTGGCTTATTTTTTCTCCTGGAGCAGTCAGGTTTTTTTTCTCTGGGAGAAAAACTTTGAATATCTCATACGTTTGTTTTCTAGTAGGAGAATGGCAGTTCTTCCGGTAGAAACTGAACACCTGGAAGTAGCCATAGAAAGAGATTGCTTACCAGTGGGTACCAAACATTTGTTACGTTCTTCTAATTAGACAAAATTTTAGGACATGTGTAAAGCACTGTAAATATGATTTATATAGTAGAACCCAAATACCTTTCAGAGTAGTGTCTTTTAGACTCCTGAAAAGATAAGGATTTATGAACTGAGAGGGGCTGTACCCTAATGGTTCTCAACATCATTAGCAGGAATCCTGGTTTTCTCTGATTTTAAAAAATCCAATATTCTCTGATTTTTAAAAAACCCCCCACCCAAATCTGCATTTTTTTCATGATTATATATAGTGGCCTTTCATTTTATAATTATCAGTTGAATACAATGTTTTATTGTCATATTTACAATTTTGAAGCAATTTGGAAGCCTACCAGTGCCTTTTAATCATTATAATAAAGTAAATTCTAAATATCTATATATTTTGCTGTTTGATTTTGGTTTTATCATGGAAAATCAGAGCTCCCACTGTCCCCTTAGCTCACCAGGACACAGGTCCACCTGCGGCTGTGTCCCACCCACCCCCCCT